TGAATAACCTATTTCTCTAAAATGGACTAAAGTGACTGACAGAACAGTCAATATTTTGCACAAAATTCGATATGTGGTCAAAGGAGGAATAACCGATGTGACCACTTTTTGACAGTAAATTTACAATTTTCTGTAAAAATAATACTTCAAACGGCATTTCTGTTAATATACAGCTCATATAATGTAAACTAATAATGGTTGTATTACTACATTAAATTTGATGTAATTTACATAAGCCTTGTATTCATATGCTTTTCATCGATGACAAATCCTGCACTGTATTTTTACTATACTTATAACTGTAAATATACATATAATTTTAACAGTGAATACTACTAGCACTGACTTGACTGTTGGTCGCTACAAGGCCAAGGGACGTCCGTCAGATGACGTTTATGACCTCGGGGTTGGGGAGAAATGAGAAGTATATGTTTTGAAAGGCGGTGGGGAGAAATGTGAAAAAATGAAATGAAATGGGGTTTAACGTCCCACTGTCCTGCCCCAACTGGGCTAATGAAGACGGGCATGCGCCATACAGTGTGCTATGAGGGAAATTGTTCCCGGGCAGAGACGCTAAGACCTACTCTTATATCGAATTCCAACTGCCAAGGGATCTTTTACGTGCACGCCAATGTATACACAGGATCTCGGTTTTCATATCATCCGATCGACCAGACAGTTGTCCTTGTCAGGCGCCCCATCCTGCACGACTGGCAAGCAGAAACCACCTCGGAATATCCGGATGAACTTTCTCAGCCAATGCCGGGATCGAACATACGACCTCCAGACTAGCGAGCCAGCATTACCCACTTTAGCCACCGTGGCTCCCAGGGAGAAATAAGAATAAGTGTGGGACGATTTACCCGATACTACCCAATACCACCTCAATATCACCACATACTACCCAATACCACCTCATACTACCCAATACCACCTCAATATCACCACATACTACCTAATATTGTCAAATAGCAGCACATTAGTATAATTACTGCAATTACCTAGTTAGTGTCGATTGTTTGTATTTATTTTAAAATTAATGCTTTAACAAAACAAATTGCATAATGTTTATATTCATTTTCTCATGTCAACTATACTCAGCCAAATTAAAAACTTGACACTCGGGATTTTTGGGACTAGATTTTTAATATTTGGATTAAGGCAACTATTTTAGTGTTATGTTGTGCACAGACGACCTTGACATCAACAGAAAGCAAGAATACGTCTCGCCGAAAGTCCTTGACATTGATAACGTTCGTGATGTCACAGTACCCCCCAAAATGAAATTCACAGACTTGGAGAACAATCGGAATAAAGTGTTTAGTAACGGTTGTGGCCTCCTCTAGTGTCCCGTACTGCCATACAACGTCTTCTCATGGATCTCAGAACATTAGTAAACACTATCCGAGGAAGACGTCGCCACTGCTCAGCAAGAGCATGTTGAAGGTCCTGCAACGTCAGTGGTGGATTCACTTGCTGACGAACACGTCGACCCAGTTCGTCCCAGATGTGTTCAATAGGATTAAGGTCGGGGCTAAGCGACGGCCAATCCAGGACTTGGACACCGGCATTTCTTAAAAAATTCTGGGTAGCAATTGCGGTATGGGGTCGAGCATTGTCTTGTTGAAACGTTAGTCCAGGCCCATGTCTCTGCATAAACGGAAGAAGAACAGGTTGCAAAATCTGATGCCTGTACTGGACAGCATTTAAGTTCGCTTGGACAACAACAAGAGGAGAACGTCCATGTGCACAAAAAGAACCCCAAACCATGACGCTGCCGCCACCAAATCGGTCAACTTCTCTGACGCATACTTGAGCGTAACGTTCACCTCGTCTGCGGTACACTCGGGCCCTGCCATCGGCAAATCTCAAAGTGAATCGAGATTCGTCACTAAAGACAACCGAATTCCACTGTCTTTGAGTAAATCTTATGTGTCTTGTGGCCCACACAAGTCGGTTACGGCGATGAAGAGGTGTCAATATTGTTCCATTATAGGGCCTCCGAGCTCGAAGACCAGCAGCCTGCAAGCGATTTCGAAGAGTTTGTGCAGTTACCCTTCCACCAAACATCTCTCTACTTGTGGAGGTTGCAGTGACAAATCTGTTTCTAAGATGACGTAATCGTTCCAGTTTGAAGCACTCTCATTCTAAGATTAATTATTGTCTGGCGTGAACAATTAAAGGCTCTTGCAACAGTGACCACAGACTGACCAGCATAGAGCCTACCTATAGCACGTAGACGTTCTACATTTGAAAGGCGCGGCATTTTCTAACAAAGATGAAAATAACAATTTTAATATGTTTTTCCAGTTCAAGTTGCGTGTGCGTGTGCGTGTTCAGTTTAAGCAAACTTGCATCGATTGACCTCACGAGTTTGTGTTTGCACGTGGGGTTAATGTCTACTCGACACAAACTAGGTCATTTCGGGTCTATACATGCATTTCAGTAATTCGGTAGTGTGCAGAAACTGTAGACCGCGTCTACTCATTTATGTGATAATGACATCGCCGCGACATCGTCACCTGTGGATATATACCGCAGAATAATTAGAATTTGTTCAATATTGACAATATTCGAAATTTTGACAAGAGAAGATTTTTAAAAGACAAAGGAGACGCGTTAATAAGTCATTAAAAGACAGATATAAAGATAAATTCGTGTGTTGTCCTGATATATTATACCCAAATGATGTTTTATAGGACCGTGTGAAGCACAGGCACTTGAAGAGATTAAAATAAAATTTGTTACAACTGTTTGACTATATATTACAGTATTACTGTAATATCTATGTAACAAATTTTATTTTAATCCCTTCAAGTGCCTGTGGCGTGAAGATATATAGTATAAGAAGACTTTTGAGTAGGCCACGAGACCGTTAAATGAACAATTTTACATCAACCTCAAAAATACTCTTTTATTTGAATGTTTGGCTGTTTATTTTATAAACTGATTTTACTTTAATACATTTTTAAATCTTTGTTAATTTCTTTTAAAACTTTTTTTATTTTATGTTATATTATATATTGATATTGGATGAATAAACTATAGCGGGGACATCTATAACAACTTGTTTTCCTTATTTTCACTTCGTCGTCTTGGAAACAAACTGCAAAGCCCAACAAGATGATTCATCTATTTATCCGTTGTATTGTAAAAGGAGATAACTGCGTAAATATTTCATTGTTATCTGAATCTGAATCTGAATGAATAGTCGTAGATGCCAATTACTAGCTTTAACACGACGGATGGAGTGCGCTATTTAATGTTTTCTAGTTTAGATTTAAATACTTCGATTGACTCCGAGTTCACTGTATCATCACTGAGATTATTCCAGTCGTACACAGTTCGTACAAAGTATGAGTATTTGAATATGTCACTTTTAGCACTAATTGGCTGGAAGCACTTGTTGTTGTTACACACTGAGTGGAAGCTGCCCCCCTAACTTTCGGTGCCCGAAATCTAATAAAACACTAATTTTACGAGCTGGAATAGCAGTAAAACGCGTTTGCGACCGTCAAATATTCCAAAAATTTTCTTGGGGGGTCCTTACAAGGTCAGCTCTGCTTCTTCGCCTCTTTAAGAAAACCGGCGCCGCTGTCTGTAAACCTGAATTTTTTTCGGGAATTTCTAGTTTTGCTTCCCTAACTGTAATAGAGCCCTAATAAAACACTAATTTTACTTTTTCTTTTAATTGAATACCACGAATTTGTACTGAGTTGACTATGGATTAAAACATTTTGTCTGGAGCCAATCTACTTTGTGCGACATTTTTCGGGCATCGATTATTATTTGTGAATGCAGCTGCAACAGTCTGATTGGATGGTTGGAATTCAGAATGGGATTTCGGTTACAAAACCACTGAGTACTTTTGGCGTTGCTTACACGGGCTAGAATAGCAGAAAATGCATTTGCGGTGGTTAAATTTTCAAAATTTTATCAGGGAGGGTGAGGCCCCCATACCCAGCGACGATTGATTGGTTGTTTGGAATTGGGGTCAGCCAGGCTATATTGGACCAAATTGAAGTTGCTGTATTCACAGGCTGGAATGGCAGGAAAACGCGTTTGCAGCAGTTAAATTTTCAAAATTTTCTCCCAACGGTCCCGTCTCCGTGGACTGTAAACGATTGATCTTTTGACTGGAATTCAAGTCAGCCATCTTAATAAGGCTATATTAGACCACCTTTAAGTTGCTTTGTTCACGGGCTGAAATAGCAGGAAAACGTGTTTGCAGCCGTCAGATATTCCGAAATTTTCTTTGGAGGGGGGGGGGTGCCATACAAGGTAAGCTCCGCTTCTTCACCTCTCGAGGAAGTCCGGTGCCGCTGTCTGTAAACCCGAAATATTTTCGGGCATTTCGGATTCTGCCCCCCTAACTGTCATTGAGCCCGTACGCCTATGGTATGTGGTGATATTGCGGTAGTATTCGGGTGGTATGTGGTGATATTGAGGTGGTATTGGGTAGTATTGGGTAAATCGTCTCGCTGTCTTGAAAGAGGATGGACGGGTGAAAAGGGTTTGGAAATACTAATCTAGATTTATTATTTAGTAATTGTACTTGAGAAAACTTCTAACACTCGTACCTTCATTCAGTAATTCGACTGAATTTGTTCACACAATTCAAGTGGATACACTGCAGAACTACACATTACATTGATTTAGCCTTACTGGTTGTTATAAACCAGACCAACTTGGGCAGGGTGGGCGTAATCATATCATGACAAACGGGATGAATCTAACACCATCCCCCCTATTCAATGATTTTGACAAAATAAGGGTCCTTTATATTCAGGGAGTCAAGATTATCTCCCTGAATAAGCCCCATAAAAATTTTGAGATACTACAGTATTTTCCTATACAGTGGCCATCAAGTTTTCACTATGAAACCAAATCAATCAAGTTATGATAAATATCCGTTTTTACAATGTTATAAATTTTTCGCCAAAGGATGGGAAATATTCAATAATATTGCTAAAATCGTGAATACTTAATTCAGATTCTGATTATACTAATACAATAATTCATGTTTATTTTATGAAAACTTTCAATGCATAAAACACATATGTTAGCTAAATAGTGGTTATCTCCCTTCGATCAACTGCATACATACAATATTACTGAGTGCAACTGGATGATGACACAACACACAACATAATAATCACAGAAGGTAAGATAGACACAGCCCACTCACTCCAATGGATGTAGGTGTCACTAGCTGACTGTATCACATGACCAAATAGCTGTGTTCCCACTCTCACTCCAATGGATGTAGGTGTCACTAGCTGACTGTATCACATGACCTGACAGCTGTGTTCCCACTCACTAGCTAACTGTGTCACATGACCAGACAGCCATGTTCCCACCCATTCCAATGGATGTATGTGTCACAAGCTGACTGTGTCTCATCCTTTTATTAAAATCTTTAAAGGGACAATAACACTCTTGCTGGCTTGACAGCTCCAGAAAATAAAAAATAGCCTTATTCTAAGTACTAGATGTGTTAGTGTCCTACCTGTTTTGTAAATTATCCATTAAATCCTATTTTACTTGTCAAGAGGGTTCAAAAATATTTTTAAATCCATGTCACATTTGAAAAGCTTTACGTCAGGCTTTTCAAATCATTTAGTTGAATTTTTCCAATTTTTTAAATTAGGTGTGTTAAGATGAAATTTGTATCATCAATTAATTGGAATATTGTAAAATAGTACAATTTGTTGACCAGAATAAAGATTGGGACATATTATTCAGTTACAACAAGAGTGGTATTGAGACTTTAAGTCCAACAACTGTTTCAACCACATTCAGTGTCAGTTTTATTCTGTGAGTCCCACTGTCCTATTTTAATCACATTGTTCGTGAGCCCTTACGAGTCTGGCTGGACTATTCTGTGTTGCTACAATATGGAATGTTAATCGATTTTCTGTGGCTGTACTATTTTAAGACATTCATCAGCGAACTCGGTAAAGATGGGTTCCTGCATGGCGTGGCTGACATCTAGACCACAATTATCGCTGTTATATAAATTCTCCATCATCGCTCGTAGATGGGGGTTCTCCAACATTTTTGTTATTTCCGACGATTGTTCTAAAAACAGAATATAAAGAATCCATTAAATTTCATAATTTAATAAATAAAATTATTTCTATTAAATTTATTATAATCATTCGTTTAGATGTAGGGTCCTTGTCACATCCAATCTAATTAAAATATAGATCTATATTTCGTTTCGTTTTTTATACTTTCGATGGCCTACACTACATGTAGATCTAACAAGTTATAGTGGGAGTTCACGTTCTATGACGTCAGATACCAATCAAGCGACATTTGACCCGATAACGTCAGTCATTCAATTAACCAATTAGCGACCGCCATGCTTTTTAAAATCTACTTTTGCTTTGTTTTGATTTCTATCGCTGTTAATGTCTACCCACAGTTCCGCGCAAAAAAGCTCAAATGCTCGATTCGACAGACCATTTGATTGGCTGACCCCTCATTTCAAGCAGAACACGAGTTAAATAACAAGTCTTCCAGATCCAAGTGTAGTAAAGACAAGTAAAAACGAAATTTTGAACTATAAAAAACGAAATGGAATAGGATATATGTCTTAACCAGATTGTGTCACATCGAAACCTCACCACTTGACTCCTATGACAAACCTTCTGTTCTAAAGCGCATGTATTAGACCACACGGCCACCCAAACCCCCATTTAATTTAAAAGTCGACTTCAAATCCAACCTGTTTATTGTAGAGTGCTAATGGGTTACATGCTGTAAGGGCAGGATTATGGACATTATCAAATTAAAGGTCAGGCCCCAAGTTCACAAAGCATTCTCAGACTTAAGTTAAGAATTTACTCAAAATAATTCGCCTTATTTTAACTACAATATAGCCCTTTATAAAACTTTTGTTGTTTTAATATATCAAATACATCAATTAGAAACTATGTGCAAAGTTTTGTGTTTGTGGATCAAAGATATTTCTCATAAACAGTGATTGAAAGTTGAGTAAATTCTTAAATTAATAATGATGTCATTGTATTAATCATATTAAACATACATTATGCAAGAGCTAAATCTGATTATTGCAAGTCTTAATTTAGGCTTCAGATGTTATAGAAATTATAAATTAGATCTTTATTTAAACAAGCTCAAAATCAATTCTGTAGACCCACGGATGGCTCGGCTACAGCTCGGATTTAAATAGGATTTCACTAATTGATTAAATCAAGTATGGGGCAACCTGATGAAAATACGTCAGTTAGATCAAGGCTAAATGATAGAGTGTACTTAGCGAGTCCACTGAAGAGCGTTTCCGTATGCCATTGAAAACTTTACTTGATAATCGAGATATGTAGGTGGAGTTAACGCCTGTCAATCAAACGATCGGCCAAGGTGAAGGCGCATTTCGCTACCATTTCTAGTCAAATATTACAACGATGATAACTATGTTCAAAATAAAGTAATTTGACTGAAATTTTCAATATATTCTTCTTTCATCATCTACTTTTGAACTGTTATAGCAAGAATGGCCAACTCTCTTTAAAAATCTCCCATAATGTATCTTTAACTTAAATCTAAGAATGCTTTGTGAACTCGGGGCCTGCTTGATTGACATATACACAGAGCCAATCAAATTAAAGGTCAGGTTGATTGACATACACACAGAGCCGTTCGTTTGTTCGTTTATTAGAGTTTTACGTCCACTTCCACCTAGGGTGATATCGTAGACAAAGATGTTTCCTAGGAAACTTACTGGAGGAAGCCGTAGGGATAAGGCTTGGTCCAGTTTAATTTGAGACATAGTGTCTTAGCAGGGCTGACCTTAAAAATATCTTTGTTTCACCAAACCCGACCCACAATCGAGGAGAAGGGTCGGTAGGTCGGGGTTTTTTTTTCAGATTTTTTTTTTTAAGAGCTAATTTGACAGCTTGATAATTTTCCGGGTGCAAACATTCGTCTTCTTTTATTGGCAAACAAATCAATGACATCGGGATTTTTCTTGATGCACGACTCGCACACAAATTGCGACAAACTCACGTTTGAAACTCCCTCAACACGTTTTTAACGATCGTGCGGGTTGTGCCTTTATTTTTCTCGAAAACGGATATTGAAAATATCGTCGTCATGTTTAAAACGACGCCCCACAGACATAAGAGGCAGAATCATTTCGTGGGAATGGACGTGCTTTCGTCTGCAACCATTTTGTTGAGAAGCGACACCTATGACGCTTTCGTCTTGATCAACCAGTTTCAATAATGAATCAAACCATAGCCATAGTAAAGGGAAATAACTCTCGTGATATATTTCAGGTTGACACACAAAATAAAATAAAAAGATCGCGGAAAAGTGCAATAAAATAATTTAAGTCGGGGGTGGTTTTAGTTAGTCGGTCGCGTTAGGCGAAACAAAGATATTTTTAAGGTCAGCCCAGGGAATGCCCAAGTTACACAGAGCCAATCAAATGTGAATGATATAATACACACCTCCATAAGCCAATGATATGCAAACATCAAGAAGATGAAATGTAAAACCCACCTAATTTTTGTAATAATTCTATTGGTACTTTATCTTTTGTGTCTGTTTCATCGTCTGACTCATCACCGGTTATCTCCCCTTCTTCTTCTAAACTCTCTTAAATTATAAATATTACCGCCAAAACATAGAAATTATCTAATTTCAAAACTACTTGACACCAAATGTTATTGAGGTATATTGATGTAGGCCATGGATTCAGGGCCCTTATTCACGAAAACTTAAACCAAGATAAAATCGAAATTTTAAGAAATACTGCAACTTCATTGGATATATGCAAATTGATTCTACTGGTCAGCCAATCGAATTGCAGTATTTCTTAAAATTTCGATTTTATCTTAGTTTAAGTTTTCGTGAATAAGGGCCGTGGTAGATTGTGACCTCTGCCTACTATTTATTTGGTGCCGATTTTAGTTGATTCTTGTTGTTCACAGCAATCCTGGGGCTGCTTCATGAAATTTTAACTAAGATAAAATACAAGTTTTAGTAATTTGATTGGATAATATTAGATTGATTTTAGTGCTTAGCCAATCAAAATTGAAGTTTCTACTAAAATTTGGATTTTATCTTCAGTTAAGATTTCGAGAAACAGGGCCCAGGTATATTTTATGTTGTTTTTATGATGACTGCAGTCAATCAGCAGGGCTGTCAATAGTGAGTCCAGTCCCACTCAGGACCATTTGACGCGACAAGCTGAAGCGCGCAGTTGACACTATCTATGTAACATTTGACACAACCATTTGTCATGGCTCGACCACTTGGCACAACCAGGGTCATAATCAGTTGATGAGACATGAAATGGGGTTTAACCTCCTACTTTTCTGCACCGACTGGGCTAATGAAGATGACCTCAGTTTTTCGTCTCATGCGAACAACTAGATAGCTGTCCTTGTCAGGCCCACCATCCTGCACCACTGACATGGGGAAACCACATCGGAAAATCCCCGAACCCACCAGACCTTATGGTTAGTGAATTATGATCAGTTGACACAACCAGGGTCCAGGCTTAGAGTCTGCTACCATCCTACCCACCTTTCTTCTGGACTTCTAAAACAGGGTTGTTTTTCTCTTCTTCAATCTTAAGTGGTGGTTTACAAACTTCTGCTTTAAAAAAAAATTGATGATTTTTTAAAATTATTTGTGACTAACATTAGCGTTTTTTTTATTTACGATTGATCAGAGGTATTTCTATTTACACTTCTATACAGAGAGAGAGAAATGGGGTTTAACGTCCACTAGACACAAACTAGGTCATTTCGGGACTAACACATAGTACAACTTTAAGTCAATAATTCGCTTGCACCTGGGGTCTTTAGCAGTGGGAGGAAACCGGAGGACCAGGAGAAAACCACGAGGTTGGACAGGTGACCCTACTCCTTGTCAAATATAACTGGAGAATCAAAACCACTGAATGATTAAGACCTAAGTAATATTTGTTGGACAGAAATATAAAATGGGGTTTAATGTCCACTCAACTAATACTAGGTAATTTTGGAACTAGCGTATGATTCAATTTTATTTCAATAATTCGCTTGTGGATAAATGGTAGGCCATATCACCTATATATAGATATATATATATGAGATACCTGTAAATAGTAGGCCATATCACCTATATTTTTTTCTATCTTACCTTTATGCTGTTTGTAACATTTTACAGAACAACTGAAAAAAATATAACACAAACATTTTACAGAACAACTGAAATATAACAAAACATTTTAAAATTTACATGATACATTCACTTGATTTAATATTACTTGCAGTGTCCACGGGTTTGTCTTGTTCGCTTGTCTTGTCCACGGGTTTGTCTTGACCACAGGTTTGTCTTGTTCCCAGGTCTGGTTTTGTGTGTAGTGCTGTCCTCTTGCACTTACTATTTAAAATTAGAGTCACTGATCCTCATTTGAATATTTCAAAAATATCTAACTTTTCACTTCTTAATCCACGATATAATTTTAAATACTCAAACGGATTACTTAATCCAAGCTATAATATACTCAAATGCATTAATTAGATTTTTGGCTTGGATTCAATATAATGAAGAACTTGGCCATCAAATGGTATTACCCACACAATCTGTCATATAAATAATTACTGTACGATAATTAAACCAGAACGAGATCGAGTGGTTGACAGACCATTAGTTGGGGGACGAGTAATTCATTGTTTAAGACAAACTTTGATTAACAACACAACTTACTATTTTATTCTACATTGTGGACATTTGTATTTAAAATCATTTTCATTACAAACTTCACATTTCTTGATACTCGTCATCTTTGTCACAAGTTTAACAATCCAGACAACTTGTTAACCTTCTAGTTGATAACTTTATAAAAATCCTGATAAACCTCCTGAAATGATACAAAATATCACTGGTAAATTCCCAAAATATCACAATATTATAGGAAATGAAATGGGGTTGAACGTCCTACTGTTCTTCTCCGACTGGGCTAATGAAGATGGACATACACCATACAGTGTGCTATGAGGGAAATTTTGGCCGGGCAGCGGCACTATGTCCTACTCTTATATCGAATTCCAACTGCCAAGGGATCTTTTACGTGCAACCCAATTTATACACGGGTCCTCAGTTTTTCGTACTATCCGAACGATTAGGCAGCTTTCCTTTTCAGGCCCTCCTTCCTGCACCAATATTGTAACCTACTCATTTTCTTTATAGAATTAAATAAAATAAAAGCGCAGGTGTTAATTACTTCAAATATATATATATATATATATATATATATATACACTATTGTTTATTTCTAAAATGAGATGGGGTTTTATTAACTTTCTACTTATCAGCACTGTGTTAATGAAGACAGGCAACTCTTTTGAAATAAAGTTATTATTATTATTATCATAAGCAAATTTTTCACAAAGTTGTGCTACGACCTACTTTTATTTTAAATTCCAAGTGTTGCAACTGTTTACCAGTCTTTTTACGTGGGGAGAGAGAGAGAGAAATGGGGTTTAATGTCCACTCGACACAAACTAGGTCATTTCGGGACTAACACATGGTTCAATTTTATTTCAATAATTCGCTTGCGTGTAGAGGTCTTTAGCAGTGGGAGGAAACTGGAGGACCTGGAGAAAACCAACGAGGTTGGACAGGCAACCCTACTCCTTGTCACGTACAACCGGTGAATCGAAACCCCGCCTCAATGACAGACCGCATGATACAGTGCAGCGCGCATGTGCTAACCATTCGGCCATCCGCCCCCCCCCTTTTTACGTGGACGTCAGTGCCTACTACAGGGTCTCGAAACTACTAAACACAGTCCTTGTCAGGCCCTCCATCTTGCACCACGGGGAAAACATGACAGAAAGGATAATAATAACGGAAATAAAAAAGTAAATACTGATAATCAGTTCCTAGCTACGAGAACGTAGCTAAAAACCTTGAGATATACTGATGTGTTTGTTTTTAGCTACGATTGGATGCCTTTAGTTCCAAGTGGCAAACTCAATTTCTTTATTAATGCATGTAACATCTTTAAAATAAGATAAGTTTATGCTATTATGATTAATTAAACTTACAGAGGCCAATGTAGTGGCACAACTGTCGCCTAACTCCAAATATTCGCATTTAAATTAATGAAGCGTTGTTTTTGTCTGACATTAACCGCCATTGAAATCCATTCATAGTTACAGAGCTTTAGATTGCCCTATTGATTGGCTGTTATAAAAGCCTTATATTTAGCCCCGCCTTCATGATGACAGCGTATCGTTTAAAAGGATGGTGGTCTTAGTAACGGCTTAACGCCTCGATTTTAAAAACGACGATTTGTACCCGTTTCAGGTAGGATTATATGCTTAATTGTAGTTGGGTCTGGCAGAAATAATATAAATAACAATAATCAATCGTTGTTTTTATTAAAAATATTGTCAATTTTGTTTACAAATGCCGGGTGCGAATCGCTCCCGCATGTGCTACGTTGAAGGTAATACTAATGACCTCATGTCTTATCTCGAAACACGGAGGGTTGAGAGATTAAGGTTTGTTATCTAATCAGTTCCTAACTAAAATTTAATTAATTAATTATCTTAAAAGGCATTTAGTTGATTTAGTGAAGGTGATACATGATAACTAGACAGCTTTATGGATAATATTCACTAGGTTTATTAATTGTAACGGTGAGAATATTCCCATTGAAATGTTGCAGTTAATAAACCAACTAAGTGAATGTAAAGTTTAATTTGTTTTTTAATACGCATTTCAGTTTCATTTGTGCTTCAGATGCAACCGACGTTTCTCATTATGAGTCACGTACACTTTGAAGTTACAAGCTGGTGTTTTGAGAAAGATCTAAGATTGTCTTAATTTAAGGAAATGATGTTGAAAATAAGAAGTAAATAAACGCACGTGTTTTCATTTCTTCTGTTTATTGCCGATCGCGATGCTCCGCAATACATATCTGTAAACCGTGATGCGTTATATAAATTTTTCTATCACGTGATGCCCCGTTTATATCAAAATATTTTTCTCTCTTGTTTATTTAGATTAAATAAAAAAATATATTTTCAGATTTTCTATACAAAATTAATAATTGTTTTTCTATTTCAAATGAAAATTTGATACTTATTTTGCTTTTACGTTAATAGAACTTGACAATAACAAATTTTGTGCGGTGCATCACTCTAGAAAGGAAATCTTTTAGAAAATGGTGGCCGGAATTTCGGAATTTGAAAGATTTTTCCAAAAATGACTTCTCAAGCGCCTGAATACGTCAGTTTGCTCATTCCTAAGGCGAATGAGAACAAATTTATGCTTGTTAATGCAGATGCAAAAGGTCTTTGGCTCCCAGTTGCTCAGAGAAAAGAAAATGAAACCCTGAAATTTGCGGCCTTGAAATTGGCTGAAGAGGTGAGAAAAACGTCGTCTGCATAAAATCGTAATTTCCTGCTTAAACTCGATTTGTAAAATAACAAAGACTATATTGCAGGAATGAATAAATCCCCAAGATATCTTCCATTTTAGATTGATTTTTTAAAAATAAACCATGGCTGGGCTACAACTAGCACAAGTACTGAAGTAGTCAAGTAAGTTGGTCGTTGCTAAAAACGTTGGATGAAGCGATTGACAGTTTACTTTCAGTTCACCTTCCAGCTCATTTTGTTTAAAGTAGCTAAGTCTCAATATCATCCAAAATCTTCGACATTGAAAACACGATTTATTTATCGGTTTAAATCAACATTGATGTTGTGATCTTACCGGGAAAAGATGGCCTTCTTCTGATGTCCAATATTTAAGACAAAATAAACATTTTACAATTGGTACATGAATCGTGTACCATAATTTGTTTCAGCGCTATTTGTAATAAAGGACTCGAAAAACGAGGCTAGGCATATTCCACAAGTCATGTCAAACACTCAAACAGTGACGCTATATTCTTATCTGGAAAGCAAGCTATATCGACGTAGACTGGAATAATCAGACGCTAGAGATTGAAATTCGATTGAGAATACTGGCATATTTTGCCTAACCTAACTGATTAAAAATTACAGTAAAAACAGAAACGATTGAATGTAAATCAATTTATATATACATTCATATTGTATGCGTTGCGACCCATTTGTGTCAATTTCTAGGTCCCAAATATTAGCGACTTAGATCCTTTAATGTAAGATAATTTTAGACAATTATATGAAGAATTAAATATGATCCACCTAGACCAATGCAGCCACACAACTGCAAATATTCTTGTTTAATACAATTACCAGTAAAACTAAAAGTAGTGTTTTGGATTGACTTCGATGGTTCATTCATAGTTACGATTGGAATTAATTCAGTGTTACGGTGCATTTTGTGTGTCAACCACAGACATGCTATAAATAATAATACGGTAGTAGTCTTTGCACGTCTTCCATTTCTTACTTGAAATATTAAATGTCGGCCGCGCAAATGTTTGACGGCTTTCATTTAACTCTTTGGACCCGAGCAGCTGCAAGACAGGCCTGGATGCCTCGTGGCTGGAGGGCAACTCGGTATTTAGCCGTTTTTTTGGCTGCTCAGGTCCTGTCCAAAAGGTTTAAAGAGATGATTTAATTGCGCCGGTGTCAGGTAGGATGCCCAAAATTGTAGTTCTGTTTTGTCTCAAATTGAATAGTGATCAATCAATCATTGCTCTAAAGAACAATATTATGGTTTTTGCATATGAATCTGTATCGTATCATACCTTATCGTCTGGACATGGAGACAGCTGGTTTGTAGTCTTGAAACAATGTCTGATAATTACTTCTAGGCTTATTGCCCTTGATTATGTCAATCTTGTCAATGCTTTTCTAGGATATTTTACGATATAAAGAAAACTTTCATGGACTGCTTTGAAGACTTGAACGTGTCAACCTTTCTTTTACATTGTAAAGGACCAGAATATAATTTATTAAAGATGCCTGTCCACGTACAAACTGTCATATATTTGCACTAAAAACATGTTAACATTGATATATAGCCTACATGTATATATCAAAAGGAAACTAACCCATGCTGTGAGAATCTGGGTTGTTTATCATGTGACTTGATACAGGGAAATGAGGGATCACTGTGGCTAAGTGGGTAAGACGCTGGCTCGCTAGCCTGGAGGTCGGGTGTTTGATCCCGGCATTGGCTGAGAAAGTTCATCCAGATTTTCCGTCGTGGTTCTCCCTTCTTAGTTATGCAGGACGGAGTGTTTGACAAGCACAGCTGTCTAGCCGTTTGTATGGGACAAAGAACAGGTCTCGTGTACACATTGGAATGCACGTAAAAGATCCCTTGACAGTTGGAATTCGATATACGAGTAGACCGTAGTGCCACTGTCTTGACAAAATTTCCCTCATAGCACACAGTATGTCATATCCCCATCTTCATTAGCCCAATTCGAATCAGAACTGTAGGACATTAAATCCCATTTCATTTCATTGTTGATACAGGGAGAATCCATTGTTAGCTTATATTTGTCAGTAGTCGCTATCCATTTACATGTACCATACATGTAAATATCGAAGCCTAAGTAAATTCCTGGATTATCCTCTACCAACTTCTTTTTCCACCGTTTAAATAACTACCCGTTGACGGTTGTACTTGACAAGGAGTAGGGTCGCCTGTCCAACCTCGTGGGTTTTCTCCAGGTCCTCTGGTTTCCTCCCACTGCTAAAGACCCCTACGCGCAAGCGAATTATTAAAATAAAATTAAAACCATATGTTAGTCCCGAAATGACCTAGTTTGTGTCGAGTGGACGTTAAACCCCATTTCGCTCTCTCTCTCACTATACCCGTTGAAATGTATCTTTAACACAACCTACAGAGTTATGCAATGTTTTTATATAGTATTTTGTTTGAATCTATTTAACAGTGTACAGGAGTTAAAGATGTCGTTTTAAAGGGAGTAATGAAAACACATTTTACAAGAATTCCCAACTCTCCGTCAATCATCATAGCAACATTTTTAACAGCACCTGTAGAAAACTGTATTAAGGTATAGTAATACCAGCATTTAATAATCACGTTTTCTTAATTTCAATTCTACATAAATTGACTCATAACAATTTATACTAACAATAGATAGTATAGATCTTATATCATTTCTGTTGATGATGTCGTATGACTATCACGTGATTCTCCAACATTTTTCCAGTACCTATTTCAAGTTGCATGTTTCATATATTCATTTTAATATATATACAATGTACCAACAGTCATAGTCGGGGTCATCCAGATGCCTCTTGAAACCTAGTCTTTGCCAGCGAGTATGTTCTATGTATACAAGTTTTATGCTGATTTCAGTATGGTGGTGTGTGGATGAGTGAACAAGATGTCGAAAATCATCTCGATCCTAATAATCTACCCTGTTTACTTGGAACAGAACCTTTAAAATTTATACAGCAATATAAAGATGGTTCAGGTAGTATAATCTACTTCTTTTAACAATTTGATTAAAACAAAGATCCTATTTCGTTTTTTTTTTTATAGTTTTACTTTTCCTTACTACACTAGGATCTGGAAGAGTTGTTATATAATAGGCGATCTGGATAGCGTGAGGGATAGCGTGTTACAGCAACTTCTTGGCGTGCCATACGCGAAACTGTCGGTAAACCACTAAAAACGTCAATGCTGTTTGATTAATCAATGTCTGACATCATAGGGTCAAAAGTCGCTCGTACAACCCTGGACGTGATCTTCCAGTACAACTGGTCAGATCTTCATGTAGTGGAGGCCATCGAAAGTATAAAAAAACCGAAACGAAACGAAATATAGATCTGTATTTTATTCAGATTGGTTATTTTAACAGATGTTAGACATTCTCGAAAATCTTGTTTGTAGTAGTGATTAGACATTCTTTCAATACAGAAATAGACATCGTTCCACTCACCACAAACCAGCCACTTTGTGATGCAGATATGGAGCCACAGTGACTAAGTGAGTAAGACGCTGGCGTGGTGCTGAAAGGATGGCCTGGTAAGGGACAAGGTATAGTCGTTTGGATGGGACAACAAACCAAGGTCCTATGTACACATTGGTGTGCATGTAAAAGACCCCTTGGTACTAGGAATTCGATATAATAAAAGAAGACTGTAGTGCCGCTGTCACTGCAGAATTCCCCTCATAGAACACTGTATGAGGTACCTTGTACACATGGCGTGCACATAAAATAACCCTTGGCATTTGCAATTAGATATAAAAATAGGCCGTAGTGCCGCTGTCAGTGCAAAATTTCCAGCATAGCACACTGTATGGCGTAAACCCGTCTCTGAGCAGAACGGTAGGACGTTAAACCCTATTTCATTTCATTTTATTTCACTACTTTATTTTCACCTGAATCAAAGGGTTCCTACATGTATATGTCTGTTTTGTCTTTTTCAGGATCGGGTTTATGGGCTGCGTTAAGTGAAACATGTGTTGAATATGTTGATATCTCGACAACAGAAACATCTCAGATCTCGTCACACGAAGCTTTGATTAAATCGTCTAAACTTGATAAAAGAGGTTGGTACATGGCATAGTTACGCTGTCTGTCTACAATGAAAACAGACATGAAGATTGTTGACTGACATTTTTATTCCCAAAACTGACAAGTATCAATCTGATTTAAACACCCCCCCCCCCCCCCAAAAAAAACAAACCCCGAAATATATATATATGTATTTTAATCAGATTGGAGAACTATTTACTCTGCTTCCATTTAATAAAATTAATAATGTTTATATAGTCTTGGTGTGCATTAAACAGGTAAAACAGATTAGAACTGCTTTACAAAATGGCATACTAATTTTTAATATGGCCGCCATTTCTATACACAAATTTGTCTTAAAAAATAACATGCAATACACAATAACACATACTTAACGAAAAACAACTACTTAATTATTTGGACGATGTTTCAAAGAGTATTCCCTCAGTGTTAAGTAGCTGTTTATGGTATGTGTTATTGTGTATTGCTCTATCCGGTTAATAAACGCCTGTAAAAGATTATAAAATAAATTATAATATAATAATAATAGTGAGTTCTTATATTGCGCACAGTTCCATCACAGTGCATTTTTTTGCTATACACTCATTACTAGATAAAAACACAGTTAATGTTTAATAGGCAGTCGAACAAAAGAGATTTATATACAAAACTCAGGGGATATTAGAAAGGGTTGTACTACTGTAAGATAGTAGGTGGAACTTTCAACCGCTTAATTCTCGGTTCATAGTGAATCAATTTGACTGAAATTTTCAGAGAATTGCCTTTACATTATCTTGTATTTAACTATTATAGAGAGAACTGCCAACTCGTTATCTAATCTCTCATAATGTATCTTTAACTTTGATGAATCTAAATTCATTAAATGTTATTTTATTTCTAGAACAAGGGTTATTATTTCGAGAATTTATGGATTGGACGTTTCCATCACAGGTAATGAGTCTACCTGTGTTTAAAAGATATTTGGTTGCTAAAGGTGCCAAGTTAGAAGAAACTGAGGACATATTCAGGTAAATTGATTCAAGTGATGACAAATAGAGCCATATTGAAATTCGTAAATAATAGAAGGGGGTTGGGTGACCGAAAGTTGGATCATTAGGTCTGTCATTGAGTCAAGTGGCATGGTTTCGATTTCCCGCTTATATGTGACAAGGAATATGGTCGCCAGTCCAACCTTGTGGGTTTTCTCCGGATCCTCCGGTTTCCACCCACTGCTTAAGACCCCTACACAAGCAAATTATTGAAATAGAATTGAACCATATGTTAGTCCCAAAATGACCTAGTTTGTGTCAAGTGAGTTATCCCTCCAGGTACATCAACATTTGCTTGATTATCAATCCGGAACGTCCCGAAGTGACGGAAGTGCAATCGATTGACATGGAATTCAGTCCTGTCACATTTTTGTCAGTCTGGACAAACGAAGGTGGTGTGAGTAGAATTGTGCCGTAATTAAACACCACCAATATGTTTCACCTGTCATGGTTGGTTTAGATATTTTCTTATGCACTCAATTGTCACTATTTTGGGATAATCAAGGCCAAAATTAAAAGATCGTCTGTTTGCCCAAACGCGACCGACCCAAAAAAAGCCGCCGAGTCAAATTCTTTTATTGCCGTTTTTGAAGATTTTTTTTTTTTTAACAGCATTATTTTTACGCTTGACAATGACACCCAAACGCTCAATAATCGGTTGGGAGATTGAACAGCCACTGTCATGTCTATACATAGTAACACCAAACTCGACACGTGATTTCGTAAAATCTCGTTATTTATCGCGATAGTTGTTGTTAAGGAACGGTATGTGTCATGGCAGACAATTACTTTACACTGTCGTCTTCGGTAGTGATAAAAAGCGAAAATAAAGTAAAACCAATTGTTTTGAACAAGCTGCAGCGATTTAACAACAGTAAGACATGGAGGGACGTCTTTGATGATGTCACTGTTGATGAAATAGACACGATGACAATGGACAAAATGGTTGTGACTGTTTCAACTGTTCTCGTTAGGCCTAATTATCTAATAAAAAAGTTAGAGTTTAAATATTGTTTTGTTTTTGAATTTAGTTCTCAAAGTCTGGTCCTCCCCCCCCCCCCCCAAAAAAGAATTTGCCTACCTACCTACCCATACCTAATCATCATGAGTCGGGTTTGGGCAAACTGAAATATTTTTAACCCTGGCCCAAGGTGGAAACATTTTAAAACAATACCCATCAGTAATAACTTGGCCTTGATGATATCAATAATTGATTATCTTTCAATATGTGTGATTATTTATATATCATTCAGCATATTATAATTCTTGGTTTAACATTGGATATAAAGTACAACACATACTGCTAGGATGAAAACATCTTATTTCTAAAATTAATAAATATATGTATAATCTGGATTCTTTAGTGATGATCGATTCTGAAAACTCTTGACGATTCTTTAAGATGCATTTGTTATATGAATTATTATTTAAACAGTTATAAACATGACAAGCCCATAATCAACTCTCTCGACCAGTGGATGACTCAGATATTAAATAGATCAAATCACACCGTCCATTTAAAAGATGAATGTTAAAATAGATAATCGAGACTGCTACCATAATAAACAATGTCCGCTACATTTTGTCAAAATATCCAACACTTATAACGTCGCCCAGAATAAAGTAATTTGACTGAATTTTTAATATATTCATTTTTCATTATCTATTTTTGAACTATTATCGCAAGAACTGTCAGCTCTTTATCTAAATCTTACATAATGTATCTTTAACTGTGAATATTATTTTTTGTTTTCAGGGCATTTGATTTACACAAGAGAAAATTTTTAACATTTAAAGAAGTATTATTAGGTTTAGCGGCCATGGAACCGTCAACCCAACATGGTGGTATGCCCGCTGAGATGAGGTGTAGATATATATTCAAATATTACGATAAAAATCTTGATAATTTTCTACAGTATGAAGAGTTTAGGTGAGTTGATATTACAATAAAAATCTTGATAATTTTTTACAGTATGACGAGTTTAGGTGAGTTGATAATTTCATGAGAGAAAGACACACTTGACACAAACTATGTCCTTTTGAGAGTAACATATGGTTCAATTTTATTTCAATGATTTGCTTACGTGTAGGGGTGCTTAGCAGTCGTAGGACCCAGAGGAAACCCACGAGGTTAGACAGGCTAACCTACTCCTCGCCACATACACGTGGGTCCAACCTCATGGGTTTTCTCTGGGTCCTCAGGTTTCCTCCCACTGCTAAAGACCCCTATGCGCAAGCGAATTATTGAAATAAAATATTAAACCATATGTTAGTCCCGAAATGATCGAGTTTGTGTTGAGTGGACGTTAAATCACATCTCTCTCTCTCATACACTTGGGAAATCAAAACCATGCCACTTGACTCAATGACAGACCTTATGAATTAAAGTGGACGACACCCAGCCCCCCCACCCGCCTTTTCTTTATAAATGAGGGGGGTTGGATGGCCGAATGGTTAGCACGTGTGCGCTGTATCATAAGGTCTGTCATTGAGTCAACTGGCGTGGTTTCAATTCCGTGATTGTACGTGATAAGAAGTAGGGTTGCCTGTCCAACGTCGTGGGTTTTCTCCGTGTCCTCCGGTTTCCTCACAATGATAAAGACACCGACGCGCAAGCTAATTATTGAAATAAAATTGAACCATGTTAGTCCAGAAATGACCCAGTTTGTGTCGTGTGGACGTTAAACCCCATTTCTCTCTCTCTCTCTCTATAAATGATATCTATATGTTTATATTTATATTTTTGTAGGAAATTAGTAAAAGATATCCGTCAATCGAAGAATTTACCTCTAACTGATGACGCTGTCAACGAAGATGCTATTGCATCTGCTCAGTAAGATTATGTTTATTTTTAGTTGTCAGGAAACTTGAAAATCTTTTTGTATGAAATCGAATTTGTTTATCTTCTAGTTCATAAACTCAGAAGTTATTTTAAAGCCCCAAAGTTTCACTTAGTAGCCCCCTAAAAATGGTTATTTAAGTATGAAAATCGGGGATACGTTGATACTGTACGTCGCAGTCGATGCGATTATCGTGTTGTGTACAATCCACATTTCTTACTGCCTTAAAGATATTTGGGCCTTAGTTGACAATTTTTATATCATTGGTAAGAAAAAAATGTTGTTCACCTGGATACCCTAGATTTGTCATAATCATCTAGTATCTATCACCGTTTTGTTATGAAAGTGTAAATTAGAATTTATTTTCTTGGCATTTTAAAAAAATTTACATAATGCAGTTGTATAAAAAAAATGATGAAGTACATGACAAAGGTAGCCACCTTAGCTACAAATGTCGTACAAATAGGTTCAAATGCAAAATTGTCAACACATATCATTACAGTTTGTATTGAAATAAGTAATTATATCACAAATAGTGAAGACTGAGCCACTAAAATAGTTATTTAACAGTTTTTCTTTGTGATAATTATGCGTTCTACATTTTCAAAGCGACATTTCTTTTAATGTAAGCCGCCATGACACCAGTCAAATGAAATCTCGCCAAATTTCACTTAACAGTTGGGTTTCATCAAATCATATAATTATGCGGTAAGACTTCACCTTTATTTCAATGGGAATTGGTTTATTATATGTTAAGCTATGTGCAGTACAGTTTGGGGTCAGTTTACGTGTAAATTAAGGGGGCTATAGGCTAGTAAACTTTTTGTAGTCATTTGACTAAAAAACATGCGCAAAGGAACTCTGTAGGACGAGTCACTACTGTGGCTGGAGTATAAGGTGGAAGACATCAGTAGTGGAACCATTTCTAGAAGCCACCTGTGTTCAATTGTTTTCCAATTTACAGAATTTTGAATCAGAGAGTTTGTGGAAAGAAAGTTTAGCAGAGCTTGTCAGAGAATTAAATTGATCAATACAGTGATACAGAATCAAATATTCTACTGAATCAATCTAGCAAGTTCTGTAGTTGTTATCCAGGTATATATTTATTTATTTGTGAATTCATGATTAGGAATCTTTTGTTGTAGAATATTTGGTGAGAATGTTAAAGATCGACTTCCATTACCAGATTTTTTAACTGCTGTTGGTCAACTCAAGTTCCGTGGTACATCTGTTTTATTTCGACTACCTTATTCCTGTATAGAAAATATACCTGTAGAACAGTAAGTTTCTACCTTATTCCTGTATAGAGAATATACCTGTAAGTTTTAAAATAACCTACGGACTATGACACTGATTCATGGACACAATAATATAATTTAATTTTGTAAGACATTAGACGTCCTAAACACAGGATTTAGATTAAATGAAATGACATTTAAAGTAGCTAAGTCTATAACAAATTATTTGTCAATTTAAATCATCATTGATGCTGTGATCTTACCGGGAAAAGATGGGATTCTGATATCCAATATTTAAGACAAAATAAACACTTTACCACTGGTACACGAATTGTGTACCATAATGCGTTTCAGCAAGGGACTCGAAGAGCGAGGCTAGACATATTCCACAAGTCTTGTCAAACGGTGACACCATATTCTTATCTGGAGAGCATGTGCAATAAATACTATGGGTGTAGACTGGAATAACTAGACGCTAGAGACTGCCATTCGATTGAGACTTCTGGGGTATTTCACCGGACATAATTGATTTGAAATTAAGAGAAAAAATGGAAACGGTTAAATATAAATCAGTTTATATACATTCATATTACATTATTATATGCGTTGTGACCCATTTGTGTCAATTTCTAGATCCCAAATATAAGCGATTTAGCTCCTTTAACGTCTTACTGTTTTAAATCAACCAATTGCAAGTTAATGAAGACATGCATGCGCTGTACAGTGTGATATGACAGCTTTTTGCCAGGACATCAGTTTTCCCACCTACTATTTATTAAATTCCTTCGGTCAAAGGTTTTTTTTATTTGCACACCAGCATATACAAGGGGACCTTGTTTTTGTTTATCCCATCCAAATGACTAGACAATTTTTATTGTCCGCCTTTAAACAATGCTGAAAAAGTCTGAGGAACTTCCCCAATCAACCTCGCGTTGAACCCAGGATCTTCTAGTAAGATGGTTTACCTGTTTAAATATTTTAACAATAGATAGATAGAAATCACTAGGGACCGGGATTCCTCAAACAATGTCCAGTTTGTGCTACCAAGTAGTTTAAGAAACACCGTTTAGTTTTGACATTGGACGTTTTTTGATGAATCTTGGCAGCATTTAACACTTTCTGGATGGCAATCTATTAACTGGATACGCGTATTAGATTCTAGATGGTAAGCTCAGTTTCTTTCCTTTTTTCATCAAATCTGAATGATACCCGGTCCCTAGCTGTACTTTATATCAGCTTTTCAGAGATTAATAGAAGCACCCTGGTTTATGTGCCATCTTCAATTTACAAAGGTGGGATCAGAGTCCCCAGAAATACCTGAATAGTAGTTCAAATTGAGTTAATATTTTAGAATATTTTTACAGATCCGATAGTAATAATAGTATAAATAATCATACAGACGATGAACCTCCAACAAAACGAAGTCGACCTAAATTAATAGAATCAAAGAAGAATCTAACGGACAGTAAGTTATATTATACCTTGAAAACATTTCTTCAAATTGTAGTAATATGTAATATATGTAATATGTAATATATGTAATATGTAATATATGTAATATGTAATATATGTAATATGTAATATATGTAATATGTAATATATTGGTTCTGATAAAATCCAATCTTATTTAAAGACAGATCTATATTTCGTTATACTTTCGATGGCCTACAGTACATGAAGATCTGATCGGTTGTAGTGGAAGGTTGTGTCAGGGGTTGTACGAGCGACTTTTGACCCTTTGACGTCAGACATTTCATGTTGCTAGTGGGTTACCCACAGTTCTATGCGCCTCACGCTAAAAACTCGCAGTAACAGACCTTTTCATTGGCTAATCCCTCACATCATCCAGAACGTGCGTTATATAACAACTCTTCCAGATCCTTGTATAAAAAACAAAAGGAAATAGGATCTGTGTTTTAATCAGATTGGATACAATCAAGATCTCAATTTAAAGCTGACCATCATTTTTCCAGGGGGATTGGGGGGTTTTGTGGTTTAACACAGGCATCATAAATCATAACGTCTGTCCAACCTCGTGGGTTTTCTCCGGGTCCTCCAGTTTCCCTCCACAGCCATCCTGAAAAGAGTGGACGAGTGGACGTTATACTCCATTTCTCTCTGTCTCTCTCTCCTCATCATTTTCAGAAAATATTAAATTTTCCATAGCTTAATCCAAGTTTGACTAAGTGTGGGTATATACACTTGTTTATTTAATTAAAGACTAGACAAAATCTTGCCTCACCAGAATCATTGGGCGCGACAGAGATACAGAATAGTTCTGAAGGACTTTATTTATTAATAAATGTACCCTGTTCATGCTCTTGTTTATGTTCATGTGTTTTGATCATTGTTTCAGCTGATGAGAATCTGTCTGTATTTAAACATCCGGCGGTGCCACGCCCATCTCATACTGCTAAACATAATGCACTACCCAAATATGAACTGGCTACACATACTGTTAAAGTTAGACGAACTGGTACCTTAGCTGATATAATGGCTATCTGGGATCTTCAAGGTATACAAATATATAATTTAGATAACATTTCAGGCCTAAAAAAGACCTGCAATCAACACATTTAGCTCTTGCATAATGTATGTTTAATAAACATATTTATTTTATGGTCTTCAACTCTACATTAAACTTTTTATTCTGAGACATTGTGTATCACGTCACATAAACAGCATTTATTCTGGGACATTGTGTGTCATTGTTACGATTTATTTTCTTCCAGGGACGTCTGCTATAAGTGGAAGCGCTGATCATCATTTAGAGGGAGATATATCCCGATTTCAACGTATGCCTTCAATAGACTCTTTTAACCAGGTAAATAGTAATACAACATATGCTTTCAATAGACTCTCTCAACCAGGTAAATGGTAATATGAATACTTGTGGGCAGGTTGGATGGCCGAATATAATTTTCTAAAGATGCCTGTCCACGTACAAACTGTCATATATTTGACTAAAAACATGTTAAACTGATATATATATATAGCCTATATATCAAAAGTTTGCTTCAAATCCCTGCTCTCAAGGGGTGGTTGGATGGCCGAATGCTTAGCGCGTGCATGTTGTATCATAAGGTCTGTCATTGAGTCAACTGGCGTGGTTTCGATTCCTCGGTTGTACGTGACAAGGAGTAGGGTCGCCTGTCCAACCTCGTGGGTTTTCTCTGGGTCCTCCATGTTGCTCTCACTGCTAAAGACCCCTAAAGACCTCCTACGCACAAACAAATTATTGAAATAAAATTGAACCATATGCTAGTCCCGAAATGACACCCCTCTCCCTCTATAGAAACCATTTCGTCATGGCAGCTAAAACTGTAAGGTTTAAGAATATTTCCTTTGTCGGTATCCTCTCTTGAACTATTATAATTACACAACTTATGGCATATGCCCGTCTTCATTAACCCAGTCAGTTAAGTACGGTAGGACGTTAACCCGTTAACTGCGTAGGGCGTTATATAACGTCCTGGACAACTGCCACTCACCGTGTGTAGGACGTAATATAACGTCCTGGAGGTATTTTCCCCAACCTATTCTTCGAACACGATCGCAGCATGTGTAAGATGTTATATTACGCCTTGTCGAGGAAATCTAATATAAGGGAGACAACTCTATTTACCGTTAGTTTTAATTTGGTTTCAGACTACCAAATTTTGTATTCCGGAATGAAAAGGTCCAAAATGATGTTTTTCGTCAAATTAATTACACAATAGGAAGTAGTTAACGTTTTAAAAACTACGCAGTTAAGGGGTTAAACCCAACTTTATTTATTACAGTTACAAAGATCTCAGCCTAACGAAATTCTTAACGGGTTTATTATTATTATTATTACAGAGATCTCAGCCTAATGAAATGTTAACGGGTTTACGATATTATTATTATTATTACAGAGATCTCAGCCTAATGAAATGTAAACGGGTTTACGATAGTATTATTATTATTACAGAGATCTCAGCCTAATGAAATGTTAACAGGTTTACGATATTTTGAAAGAAATTTAAAAGGAGATAATTCCTCGTTGCCAAAGGTACATAGTATATGTTTTTATATTTTAATTTGACTATTAACCTGGATTGATTGAAGTCGAAAGAATGTTTCAAAACTTAAACGTGAATGTTACCTTAAAGGACAGTGTTGGTGTCCACCAATATTACCTTTAAGGACAGTGTTGGTGTCCACCAATATTAGGTATATGATAGATCTGGTTAAATACATTCCAATTTAATTTTAACTCGGAGATCATTCCTGCAGTTGATCCATATCAAAGATTTAAAGAATCGGTAAGTGATGCAAAAAAGGAAAACTGTTATTGATACCGACTGAAGTTAAGGTCGATATCAGAAAATCAGACAATTTTCAGTTTACTGTCGACACTGATAATTACAGTGGTCATAGGCGTACGAGCTGGGGGGGCTGGGTGGGCGGCCGCCCCCCCATTTTGGGCACCAAATGCTGGGAAAATTTGGGCACACAATTGTACTTTGTAAAAGTTGTATAAAATAATATTGCGTTCTTGAATGTGTCCAATTTAACAGCGAATTTATTATTATTATGTAACATACTAAGAACCTAACTACATTTTTTGGGCACCAACCACCACCGCCCCCTCCCCCCCCCCCAGTCAAAAATTTCCCCGTACGCCTATGACAGTGGTGACTATAATAGTTGTTAATTGAGACTGTTAGAGGATAGCAGTTCGAAAACAACTATTCATTAAAAACATTTGTCTATCACGAGATAAGAGAAAGTGAGCAACAACTATCCATAAAAGAATTGACTTCCACACGATTGAAAAATAACCCTAAAAAATGCAATAGTCTATACATTATCTCTTTTCAATAATTCTCTACGTACATTTTAAACGACAGTTTATTCAGTTAGATATCACTTATGGAAAATCAAGACTATGTTGATTGTCTTGGCAATGGTACTTGATAATCAGGACTATTTATAAATTATGCTAGCTATCTTATCAACTTCGCTCTGAATAAAGCAATTTAACCGCAAATTTCAAAATATTAATTTTCCTTATCTATTTTGGAATTATAATAGCAAGACCATCCAGTTATCTAAATCTTTAATAACCATTTAAGTGATATTTATTATGATTGACGTATTCCAGGAACAATTTACCTGGGGTCAGGTGGACATGACAGCTCTGGCCAAATGTTTACTGACTTTATGTCGACAAGCTAAAGATCTGCTCATGGAAGAACCTAGATTACTGAAATTACAGGCACCAACTTACATTCTCGGTATGTACTGAAATTACAATCACCCACTTACATTCTCGGTACTGAAATTACAATCTCCTACTTATATTCTTGGTAAGTACTGAAATTACAATCACCCACTTATATTCTTGGTAAGTACTGAAATTACAATCTCCTACTTACATTATCAGTACTGAAATTACAATCTCCTACTTACATTCTCGTTCAGTACTGAAATTTTTACAATCTCTCAATGATCCATGTAAAATTGACATTAAACCGGGTGCCGTTCTATTTTAGGTGATATCCATGGTAATTTTCGTGATTTGGTGAGTTTTGAGAAAGCCTTATGGAGAATGGGTCCGTTATTAACACCAGCATCGTTCCTGTTTCTGGGGGATTACGTTGATCGTGGGGATCACGGTGTAGAGGTGAGGACGTCTGTGTTTACCTTGTGGTGATTTTATTTAAAGATGCATGTAAGAGCTAAATCTGACGATTGGCTTCAAATGTTATATAAACTATTAAGACATTTATTCACATGACAAGCCTATAATCAGCTTACTAATCTTTCGGATCGTCAAGACTTACATGGATTTAAACACAATAGCCATTTAATAATTTAATTTAGGTATGGATAATCTAGACTTCGCCTCGATTGACAAGTATCATTACTATGATAATAAATAATCAACGCTGCCTTTTCAAACAATGATATTTCACCTAGAATAAAGTCGTTTGAATGAAATTTTCAATATATATTTTTCATTATCTATTTTTTAAACTATTAGAGCAAGATCTAGAACAGCCAGCTCTTTATCTAAATCTTACATAATGTATCTTTGAATATCATTGTCAGTATACAAATTCTGTATATTATTTACTGTGGTGATTCCTTTATGATCTGTTTGTCTTAATATTTAAATTAGATAACCATAATCATATTATTATGCTGCCAGAATTCTATCGAAGAGGCTGTTAAAAAAAAAAACGCAAATTAAATGTTACAAGGAAGTCATTAAAGTTACAATTTCATATTTTTAAGTTATATTTTTAAAATGTATTAAAATAAAGCCCTAAAATAGATGTTATCTATAAACAGTCCTACCTTGTTAAAGAATAATCCTATTAATCCTATAATTCACTATTGTCAGTTTAGAAATTGGCAAAAATATCATTTTCAACTTCAACGTTGAGGATAGCTATTCCATGGTGGGGAATAGGAAAACAACAGAGATCATTGTGTTATTATTTCCGGTGTGAAGATTTTTAAGTGTGAGAAAGATAACCTATGATCGTATAATAGTGAGTTAATATCCTATTGAGCAAAAGACATAGAAATAATTATGTTTTGACTTTCTTAGAAAATATGAAATTGTAACTTTAACTGTATGAATGTTAAAAAAAATTATATTTTAAATTTCTGTTTAAAGATACATTATGGGAGATTAGGTAAGGAGCAGGCAGTTCTCAATATAATAGCTAAAAACTAGATAATGTAAAGGCAATTTGCTGAAAATTTCAGTCAAATTGATCCACTCTGAACCGAGATTTTAGCAATTGAATTTTGGGCTTAGCCTCGATCATCATTACTAAAGTCAGTAATGAAAGTTGAGCAGCAAATCGGATCCTAATCCACTAAATATCACAGGCTACCGATGACCACGAGAGTTGAATATGGTCTGAAAAAGTTAATTAATGTCTAATTAATAATTTAGATAACATTTCAGGCCTAAAGAAAGATCTGCAATAGACAGATTTAGCTCTTGCATGATGTATATTTAAAGGCCTGGATATTTTGTAGTGCTGGGACCTGAACGTGTGGGGTTTACGTTGGGGTTAGAGACAAGTTATTGTGTTATTTATAAAAGACATAAACAATGTTTTTATTACAGGTTGTTGCCTATCTTCTTGCTCAAAAACTTCTCGCACCTGGTAAATTTTTCTTATTACGAGGAAATCATGAATTACGAAATGTTCAGGAGATGTTTCATTTTAAAAGGTAGGATATATTATGAGGACTATTATTGATTGTACCTGTGAGCCAGGTGAAAGATCTATGTTTATATACAGGTTTTGAGTTTTCCGTCAACTTTCACCATAGGTAAAAGACTTGTCATATTTATACCATCTATGGTTTGATCTTAAAGTTGTCGTTGTTCTTAGTGTTTAATGTCCGCTTCCATCCAAGACGAGTTGTCTTATTTTCATTTTTATTAATTTAGCGCATGCGCAGGGGTCTTTCTTGTGGGAGGAATCCGGAGTTCCCGAGTAAACCCACGAGTTTAAGAAGGCGCCCCTATCTCCAAGTCACATACGTTCACACCAGGGATCGAAACCACAACCGCAAGTCAGAGGTGACCGACCAGCTAGAGGTCAAAATGCGACACTCTGAACCACTAGGCCATCCCAACCCCCCTGATCTTAAAGCTATTGGGGGTCATATGATACTAATACTGGGGAGATAACCAGTAGACATGACATCACTATAAATGGATTTTATTGAAATGTTGACGATTTTTTTTCATGTAATTATTTCAGTGAATGCCTGACTAAATTTGGTGAATCAGTTGGTCTACAGATCTGGGAATCAATCAACGATTGTTTCGATGCCATGCCAATAGCTGCAACAGTTGATGATAGGGTGGGTTTAAATCATTTTCTCTCAACAGAATTTTCTGTGCTTGATATTTTATTAATACAGGTGTTTTTATATAATACAGGTATTTTTGTATAATACAGGTATTTTGTGTTCATGGGGGTATTCCTAGTACCATGAATCATGGTGGATATATCGAGGCTATCAATAAAGTTCCTGTACCATTACCTGATCCAGAAAAACAAAGTTCCATGGCCTGGGAAATATTGTGGAGTGATCCAGTTAGGTATGTAGATAATATAGAATAGACGCAGGCTTGATACATTTATATTCACAGGTAAATCAATAGATTTACACGGTAACATGCATAGTGTGTTGACCTGAGCTCTGAGTATTGAGTGACTGGCCTCTGCGTTACTACTAACAACACGTATATTTCTCACGAGTTTCCATGAATAGTAACCACAATTAATAAATTTCTACTTGCTTGATGGATATTCTAACGCAGAAGCCCGTTATTAAAAGCTCTGACACCAGATCTACACATTATGCATCTTGTAGTGTTAACTGCCAACTTACCCATTTATAAACCCCAGGCTTCATATTATTCAAAAAAAATTTATGGAAAATGTCATCAATCAGAAGTGTTGGCTTGTTTTCTTGTTTGTACAGCGGTAAATTTTAATCAGATAGATTTGAATAGATTGTAAACTGCCAACTTACAAGGTTCTTATAGAATATACCTGGCATCATAAATAGTGAAATAAACCAGGCCCCGAGTTCACAAAACATTCTCAGACTTAAGTTAAGAATTTATTAAAAATTGTTTGCTTTATTTAACTAAAATATAGCCTGTTATAAAACTTTTGTTGTTTTAATGTATCAAATACATCAATAAGAAACTATGTGCAACTTTTTGTGTTTGATTTTGAGAACTACTGTGATTGAATGATGTATTTGTATTTTTAGCCTAGATCTGATGACACCCGAGGTAGTAGATGATTTACGAGAGAATCAGGGCTTTGTTTTCAACACGAGGCGAGGAACAGCTAATTTTTTTAGTTGTGAAGCTTTATTTGAGTTTTTAGAGAGAAATGGTTTATCACACGTCATCAGAGCACATGAAGTGCAAGAGGCAGGATTTCAGGTAATTATTTTTTTGAAGGAAGTGTTTATAGGGGTTAGGGCTTATAGAAAGCAGGATTTCAGGTAATTATTTTACTACAGGGTTATTAGTGATTTGGGCTTATAGGAGAGTCTCCGGTAATTATTACATTACAGGGTAAGGGTCTTAGTTATGCGATATATACAGTATATATATAAAAGACTGCTGGTGTAGTACCTGGAAATACCATGGTCCTGATCAAATTCCTCCCATCACGTTGCACACTTGGTAGTTACGCTCGTAAGTAAGACTATCCAGTCTTGTTGTCATCTTAGTCAACACTGTGATCAAACTAGTTATAAGGGTGTCAAACAGTTTATATAAAAATATTGCTGACCCACGGTGGCTCAGTGAGTGAGGCGCTAGCTAGCTAACCAGGAGGTCTCAAGTTCGCACCCGGTATTATAATAAAGTTTATAATAAAGAAATGAAATGGGGCTTAACATTAACATCCTACTGTGTTCTATGAGGGAAATTTTTTCCGGGCAGCGGCACTATGGCCTACTCTTCCAACTGTCAAAGGATCTTTTATGTGCACGCCAATGTATACACGGGACCTCAATTTTTCGGACCATCTGAATGACTAGACAGCTGTCCTTGTCAGGCCCTCCGTCCTGCACCATTATAATAAAGATAATGTTTGTTGTATTTGTAGGTTCAACAACAAGGTAAATTACTGACGGTTTTCTCATCGTCTAAATATTGTGGTGGTTGTAACGAGGCTGCGTGTGTTCTAGCAGATAATTTTAAACTTCGTATGATCCGTATTGACACTTCATGAACATAGTCAATATACCAGACCATACGCAAACTTTTATACATCATTTCAAATTCATAGAAGAACGAAGATCAAGATGGTAGAAGACAAAGTATATCTACTTTATAGTAAAAATTATATAAAAATCTATAGTGCTATAATACACGTCACATATGGACATACTCTACGTTTTATGATATTATTATTAAAAAGAAAAACTGAAAGATGTTTTAGATAAAAAAAACAACAACCAAATTATCATTTTCAAAATAAGCTGTTAGAATGAGACAGACATGATTTATATTAATATATGACACAGTCATATGGAATATCTTGATAAAGATGTCCCCGGAAATATATGACACAGTCGTATGGAATATCTTGATAAAGATGTCCCCAGAAATAAACATGTAAATAACTTACATTCCATATAACTGGGTCATGTGTTATTTAGTTATTAAATGTCACTTAATGATATATAAAAATAACTATAAACTCTGTCATTTAATCTATTCCAAACTAAAATATAGTAAAAATTGAATCATTAATAGGAATATCAGTCTAATAATGGTTCATTTACATTCTGTATTGGGGGGGTTGGATGGCCCAATGGTTAGCACGTGTGCTGTATCATACGGTCTGTTATTAAGTCAACTGGCGGGGTTTCGATTCCCTGGTTGTACGTGACAAGGAGTAGGGTCGCCTGTCCAACCTCGTGGGTTTCCTCCCCCTGCTAAAGACCCCTACGCGCAAGCGAATTATTGAAATAAAAAATTGAACCATGTGTTAGTCCCGAAATGACCTAGTTTGTGTCGAGTGGACGTTAAACCCCATTTCTCTCTCTCTCTCTCCATTCTGTATTTACAAAGATCCTATGATGAATTGAAAATTTCACACTATTTCGTATCCTCCGCAGAATTTAAATAAGCCAGTGACACCTATAAATGTTGATCACCATATCTTTATGGTCCTCTGTTTAATCGCACAAATTCCAACGGTTGTTTTCTTAATGAAATAATTCGAGTAAATTTTAGTATTGATTAATCAAAGTAAAATTATATATTGTTCGAAAAAATTCAAACAACATATGGAATACCATATCCCCGCAAATTCTCGAAACAATTTGATACATTATAATAATTTATTATACAACGACATGATCTTCAGTTTTCTGTTAGAAAAGTTGACTTAGTTGTTTTGAGTTTTTTCTCAGAAACACAGGTTTTAAGACAATTAAAAGTAAACCTGTTTGATTTCAGTTAAACTAAATAAATCTAATCTGATGTTCCATTTCAATTAGTGAAATGAAATGGGGTTTAACATCCTACTTTTCTGCTCCGACTGGGCTAATAATGAAGACGATATAAGAGTAGGCTGTAGTGCCGCTGCCAGGGCAAAATGTCTCTCGTAGCACACTATGGCGTATGCCCATCTTCATTAGCCCAGTTTGGAGTAGGACGTTAAACCACATTTAATTTCACCGAGATGAGAGGTGTAGGTTTATTATTGTGTGAGATGTTTTGGTTTTATTAAGAGAGAATATATTATAGAAATAGAGTATTTTTTATTTTGTTATAGAATTTTGTTTTGTTTTGAAGAGATATTATTTGTTATATGATAGAATTATTGTTAGACCAGTATTATTATTTATCATCTATATCACAGCCATCTTCACAATATGTTATACTATCATTACACAGTTGACTTTAGCTTTTTGGGGGTAAAATGTTATACTACCATTACAGAGTTGACTGTGTTTGTCAACTACAGCTTTTTCGGGGTAAAAATGTTTTAAGATATAAAATTTGGTAAGTAAAAATTGACGTTTTGGGTGTAAAAAAGTTTAAGATATAAAATTTGTGAAGAAAACATTGACGTTTTTGGGGGTAAAAAGTCTTAAGATATAAATTTGTTAAGAAAACCCAAACAAATTTGTAGATGATATAAGAGAATGTTTGGTTGCCTGGATTCTCTTCCGTGCGGAATAGTTTTACAAATCTTGTCGAACACTCGCATGCTGTTTTGTTTGACTGGTGAACAACAGGTATTTTTTTAATCCCAAGAATTCACACCACCAGACCGATTCAAAAATTTATTTATCTTGAGTCGAATTTTAAAATCTTGAAAAGATTAATAAAAGATAACCTCATACTGGAATACCAGTCATACCTGCCTGAACTTCAGACAGATCCACCAATTTCTGTATCTCGAGTCATATTTTAAGATGTTTAGAAGTCTAAAAGAAAGGACGTATATCGTCTTTGATTGGCATTCAGTAATTAAACATATTAATACACGGTACAATTTTATGGATACACAATTACTGAGTTTATTACTAAGCGACGTTTCGACGAGGATACTCACATCTTTATCAAGTAAATGATACAGGTATGTGAATAGTAGGCAAGTATATACAGAATATGCAACAAAATAAAAATCAAATACAATTAAAACTTAACACTTAGTATTAAACTCAGTAATTGTGTATCCATAAAACTCTGTGTTAAAAGAAAGGAGTGTTAATCTGGAATAGCAATGAAATCGATCTGAAGTTGTTGAAGTCGGTAAGAACATACTGTATAGATCGTGTTTAATAAAAAATGGTGCTGTTTAAAATAAAGCTCAATGGATATAAAACTGCTGATACTGTAGAATGTAGAATAGTAGAATTGATATAAATAGTTTTATATCCGATATTTTGTAAGGCCAGTTATATGAAGTTAATGAGGGTGTACCTACCATATACATATATCAATATTACATATTAAAGGAAATGGTCCACCTATTCCAACAATAAAAAAAAATGAAGACAAGCTTCTTGATTTTACTATTAAACATGTTTTATAGGCAGCCCCATTCAAACTGGGCCGTAAAAACCAAGGTCCTGTGTACATATTGGAATTCGATATAAGAGTAGGCCATAGTGCCGCTGTCCGGACAACATATTCCACATAGCACACTGTATGGCGTATGCCCATCTTCATTAGCCCAGTCGGAGTAGGACGCTAAACCCTATTTCATTTCAAACTTCATTTAAACTTTCTGGTCACAAGTAGTAATACGAGATTTTTATATTTCTCGAACACACATAATAAAAGAACTGGGGAACCTGTAAATTTAAAAGTTAAATCTAGTAGCTGTCATTATTAGAATATGTGGACGAGTTGTTTCGATCACTTCCACAACACAGTTGTATTTAAATCTGTATATATTCTAGGTAATTACAACTCCAGTAGTTAAAGAAGCATTATGAAAGATTTAGATCAAGAGCTGACAATTCACGCTATAATAGTTACAAAATAGATAATGAAAGCACAATATATGTTGAAAATTTCAGTCAAATTACTTCAGAGCTAATTGAAGTATAGCGCAGTCTCAATTGTCATGGCTACCGTTAGATAATAAACAAAGTCTTGATTATCCATTTTTAAATTAAATTATTAAATTGTCTTTTTGTTTCAATCCGTTCAAAATCACATCAGATGACATCAAGAGTTGATTATAGTCTGGATAAATTAATTAATGTCTTATTAATAATTTATATAATATTTGAGGCCTAAAGAAAGACCTGCAATAGACAGACGTAGCTCATTCATAATGCAGCTTTAAATCTATGTGTATATATATATAACACGTTTATCGTTATTGAACAAAAATTGAACAATCTTTTATATTTTTGTAAATAATTTTTTTTTTTGAACAAATCTACTTAATAGACATTAAAAGTCTTTATTCTCTCGACGTAAAATGTAAACCAGGGCAAATTGTTAATCTAATTTTTCTTCTACAAAATGTGATTTGTTATTGTATATATGGGCTGAGCAGGCTGTAGCCCAGGGAAACATACTTTAGGCCTGCTTTCCATGTATGCATACTCCAAGCAATTGCGCTCGCGTTTTCACACGCATACATTGTATCACCAATTTGTGTACAGCTTGCACGAACACTTGACATGCTTGGGGGTTGGATGACTGAATGGTTAGCACGTGCGCGCTGTATCATAAGGTCTGTCATTGAGTTAACTGGCGTGGTTTCGAATCCCCAGTTGTAGGTGACAAGGAGTACGTGACAAGTGGGTTTTTTGCGGGTCCTCCGGTTTCCTCCCACTGCTAAAGACCCCTACGCTCAAGCGACTTATCGAAATAAAATGACCTAGTTTGAGTCGAGTGGATGTTAAACCCCATTTCTCTTTCTCTCTCTCTCCCCTCCCTCTCTCTCTCCCTCTCTCTCTCTCTCTCTCTCTCTCTCTCTTGGCATGCTTCTTCCTTGTACAATCCTACATCAGTTGAAGGGAGGGCTTTAGATCTTAAAGTCTGTCATTGAGTCATGTGGTGTGGTTTGGATTTCCCGCATGTAAGTGACAAGGAATAGGGTAGGCTCTCCATCTTCGTGGGTTTGCTGTGGGTCGTCCGTGTCCTCCCTCTCCTTGTGGGTTTGCTGTTGGTCATTATTCTTGTATAATATCCATTGTTTGTCTGTCTATAACGTCACAGGTGGCAGAATGGTTAGCACGTGCCATTGTATTATAAGGTCTGTCATTGTGGTTTAGATTCCCTGGTTGTAGGTGACAAGGAATAGCGTCGTTGTGGTCTGTTGAGTCGTGGTCTGTTGAAACTCGTGGGTTGTCTCTGGGTCCTCTGGTTTCCTCCCACTGCTAATTACCCCTACGCGCAAGCAATTTATTGAAATAAAATTGAACCATATGTTAGTCCCGAAATGACCTTGATTGTGTCAAGCGGAGTTAAACTCCCATCTCTCTCTCTCTCTCACATATACCAACCATGTCTTATCTCTATACAAAGACTTCTTGATGTTTTTTTTTTTTTATAAATTAATACAATATTGCTTCTTTAAGAACAAATTCTCTCTTATTTGATTTGATCAAGTTTGTATTTTATCTCCAAGAGAAACTGTATTGTTTATAAATATGTACATTGATGTACATATATTATATAGAAAGAAATCCCTTTTCTCACAGACTTTAACATTCATTTAATTTGTGAGGAAAATAATGGATTGGGCTGACTGGGATATGATTAGCATAGAGTAATATATCTAGTGAGTCTAAGTATTTGCATCACATTTGTCAATATCTGTCATTTTTGTTCATTCCATTATTTTTTACCCGTTTTTCAAATTTCATGTATTTTTCAAGTTTATCATATTGTATATGTTGCTATTTCTGTTTTTCATCTCCATTCAATTAAAATGTAAATCACCAGCGTTACAGTTAATTATTATTATTACCATAGATTTATATAGCGCCCTTTTCATAAAAATGTTCAAGGGCGCTTTACAATAAAATGATTATTAGTATAAATACATAAATATGTAATGTAAAATGTAACTGTACATCGAACATAAATTAGAAAACATTAAAATAAAGATAAGCCTAGGCCTAGAAGAAGTCTAAATAAATATGATATAGATATAAAACAATTATTTAAAAGCAATCTATACTAATATTTGTGACTGTGGTTTGTCTGTCTGTTCGGGGTTGGCTGCTACACTAGGTCTGCCCCGAGTCTGAAATTCGGGGTATAGGGGTAGCTCGGACCGGGGAGTAACATAGGCCAGGTGGCGTTAGTCTACCACTTCCGGTTTTGGGGTTATGACCCCCGAGCGAAGCCGGGCATTCTTCTAGTATTAAATAAATATGTCTTCAAGCGTGTTTTAAAAATAGATAATGAAGCGCTGCTTCTGATAAAATAATGGATCTTATTCCACAGCTTAGGAGAAGCCACTGAGAAAGCCTTTTCTCCGTATGACAATAAACTTAGTGAATGAGATCCATAAAGTTATCTGTATTCTAAAGATGTTTCCAATATTTATGTAAATTATTTTACTTTTTAAACAGAATATGGTACATTACAATGTTGATAGTAATGAAACCTTAAAGATGGGTTCCCCCTACAAACTGGGTGATTTAATGGTATATATGGACTAAAAACATATTCAAACTAATTAATTTGTCATAAGTTTGCTTCAAATCCTTCTCAAACATTGTAATTGCGAAAGAATATCCTGCTATAAAAATTTGATCAAACCATGTCATGTTTACGTCACGTGACTTACCTTTCTTGGAAGCCAGAGGAGAATTCATTGCATACATCAGACGATGTTGTCTATAATCGCTTACTATTTATTACAAATATCGAATCCTAATTAAATTCTCGGTTTATCTACTACCCGCGTCTTTTTCCGTCATTTTTATCTCAGAAAGTGTTGTACATCTAACTCTTGATAAAGTTTATCAACTTGTACATCAAGCATTCAATGTTCGCGTGTGACCTTTGACATCACGTGTGCAGAAATTCCTAATCGTCGGGCTGTTGATTAGGGGAACCCTTACATTTTTGTCCTGTATATGCTCCATGAGTGTTTTTCGCGGGAATCCAGTATTTTTCTAGTAAGATTGGATATCTCTACTTTCCATATATACCAAAATTACCATACTTTTATTGGAAATAACCACCTGATAAATACTTTACTGGGAAATCATCGTTAAATACCAAAGTCACGTTTTAACTCAGTCCCTGTTTTGGCTCTGTAACTTATTCACATTTATCTCTACTGATTAAAATCCATGATGCATGTGGTATTTGTTAAAACTGAACAATGTTATGATTCATTACTAAAGTTACCTTTAGAGTACAAGTATTAAGGGCCCTGTTCCCCAGTATCATATTGGGTAGTTACCTCCCTTTAATTAAATATTTAAGTCGATGTTACCATATTTTACACACGCCATGTTTCATTGTAAATGTTTTCTTCATGAACACAATTCTTCAGTTTTTTTTTAAATTGAATTTCTATGTAAATAAAATGATTCAATCTCAAATATGTCAACTTTGTCTTCTTTGTAATATCTGGCATCTCTTACACATAAGTGGGTAAGACGCTGGCTCGCTAGCCTGGAGGTCGGGTGTTTGATCCCTGCATTGGCCGAGAAAGTTCATCAAGATTTTCCGGCGTGGTTTCCCCTTGTCAGTGATGCAGGACAAAGGGCCTGACAAGGACAGCTGTCTAGTCGTTCGGATGGGACTAAAAACCGAGGTCCCGTGTCAAATTGGTGTGCACGTAAAAGATCCCTCATAGCCCACTGTATGGCGTATGCCCGTCTTCATTAGTCCAGTTTGGAACAGAACAGTGGGACGTTAAACCCCATTTCTTTTCATTTCCTTTCCTTTTTACCTGCATCAACTGGGATACAAAAATGGACATTCAATGTGCTGTGCTAGGAAAGGGTTTGTCCAACTACTGTTCATTGAATTCCGTTCTTATCTTTAAACGCCACGTGGGCGCTGGTTGGATGGCCGAATGATTATAGCGCATTTGCATTATATCATAGGGTCTGTCATTGAGTCAACTGGCTTTTTTTTGTTTCTCCGGTTGTACATAACAAGTAGGGTCGCCCCACCAACCTCATGGGGTTTCTGCGGGCCCTCCGGTTTTCTCCCACTGCTAAAGAACCCTATGCGCAACTGAATTATTGAAATAAAATTAAACCACGTGTTAGTCCCAAAATGGCCATTAAACCCAATTTCTCTAACTCTCAAGTGTTGATAATTTATGGAGTCACCAACGTGTTGTCGATCCATCCGACTGACTAGACACGCTGACAAGAGGGGAACAAGGTATAATAATACTAAGGACCTCTATCAGCCAAGACTGCTAGATCAACAGAACCTGAAATGAACAGTGGAATATCAATCCTGATTCCCGATGGTCATCAAATTCGGAGTGGGATGTTAAACCCATTATCTTTCCTTTCGCCAATGACAATTAAAGCGAGAATTTCATATTTTCTAAGAAAATCAAAACATAATTATTTCTATGTCTTTTGCTCAATAGGTTGTCAACTCACTATTATACGATCATAGGTATCATTACCACACTTATAAAATCATTCACACCGGAAATAATAACACAATTACCTCCCTTGTTTTTTATCTCTCCCCCCCCCCCCCCCCCCATGGAATAGCTATCTTCAAGCGTTTGAATTTTAAGTTGAAAATGATATTTTTGTCAATTTCTCAACTGGCAATAGTGAAATATAGGATTAATAGGATTATTCTTTAACAAGGCTTGGTAGGACTGTTTATAGATACCATCTATTTTAAGGCTTTATTTTAATACATTTTAAAAATATAACTTAAAAATATGAAATTCTTTAACCAATCTCTTACTATAGCTGCGGAATTTTATGAGAAAAAAACCCCATAAAGATGGGCTGACAATTTGAAAACTAACCATATAAATTCAGTTAAAACGAACAAATACTAAACGGTAGTGGTCTGTACCCTGTATGAATTTTGTAAGTTATCTCCCTTTTGGCGGCTGTCATTATCGTGCGGTATACGTCTGCGCGCCATAGCAGTTCAGTGAATTTATGAAAGACGTTGATACTCTATGAATATGATAGAAATGAAATGAAATGGGGTTTAACGTCCTACTGTTCCGTTCGATACTATGATAGACATACAGGTAAGTCTCGAGGGCAGCTCTCAATGCCAAGTGCACCCAACGATTATCAGAAATATAGTTTTCAGTTTCATTGGCAAACTGACAGTGACAACAACAAACAAAGTGATTCGAAATGTCCAGTGAATCATTCAATATTCATTGTTGATGTTGATGTGACTCCCATTGAACTTGGGCGCTATTGCATCAGCTCTGAACTTTTTGTCAGACACTATAACTATAATGAATAATGGCATCAGGTGTCTCAATATTTCATTGTTGTTTTGAAGATTTTGTCTAATTTAGTAATTACTGATTGTTTTTTTTATCTGATTCCTAAACTCCGAACCCTGAATTTATAGGCTTTAATCTTAAATACCTGACCCTAACCCTAATCCTAATCCTAAAATGTAAAAGTGATGGAAATAGAAAAGGCAGTTGGATCAAACATGATCGTCACTATTAATAATGCTGGTGTCTACATACATATAGGCCTATGTACAGTAGTAGGGAATTGCTACTACTATGATTTTGTTTCACATAACGCAGGAATGTTTGCCTAATTATTAATTGTTACAATTGATTATTAACTTGTCAGTTGCATTCATAATAGTTTCATTTTACTAATTTTAGGGTTTGTCGATGTGAACAATATTTGATCATTACAACCAGAATGAATTCTTCTCAAGTTCAAGACACAAGTAACACCATACTCAAGTCCATACTAACCGAGGTAATTATGATGCCAGTAACCATAGTACCCAAAGGTCAAGATACCAGTGGACATGGTACCAAAGGTCAAGACACAAGTAACCATAGTACCCAAGGTCAATACATTAGTAACCATGGTACCCAAGGTCAAAACCCAAGTAACCATAGTACCCATGGTCAAGACACAAGTAACCATAGTACCCATGGTCAAGACATGAGTAACCGTGGTACCCAAGGTCAAGACACAAGTAACTATAGTACCCATGGTCAAGACACCAGCAACCATACCAGTCAACAAAAACAAGACAAGTTAAGATGTTCAATATGCTTTATTTTATTCGATTGCGCCACTAAATTGGAAAGTCATAAACAAATACACACCAAATATTGCAGTATTTGTGAGGAATCGTTCGCCACTGTGAATCTAGTAAAGCAACATAAAGAAGACAAGCATTTTGTGTGTAATATATGCAAGGATATTTTTAAATCAAAAGAAGAAATTAGCCAACACAAACAAGAAAAACATATGAATGAAACAAATGATAACGTATGTGAAATACATGTATGTGAAGAAAGATTCAGTATAAGTTCGGATCAAGAAGCTCATCTCCAACTTCACGGTGTTAATAAAGTTACGAAGAAATATATATGTGTCTGTGGTTTAGGCTTTAATGATCAGTCACTTTATGATTTACATATAAATTTACAATATAACCATCACAAGTGTGAAGAATGTTCGGATGTATTTTTAAAATGGACAGATTTAAAGAAACACAAACTCTTGAAACATGGTGAAAGGAAAGAAAATGAATTGTTTAAATGTATAGTTTGTGACGAATACTTCAAGAAAAAAGCAGACTACACAAACCATCTCAAAATCCATTCAGGTCGACACTGCTTACTCTATACATGCACACAGTGTGATAAGTCCTTTTCCGACAAATATAACTTGTCGATGCATGAATTATCTCATTTACCAGAATCAGAAAAACCCCATCAATGTCAATTTTGTGATAAAAAATTTAGCTATCAATATGTCTTGGTAACCCATGAAAGAACTCATGATCGTAACCGAGGAAGTTATAAGTGTACGTACCCCGCTTGCGACAGGGTGTTCTTTAGCAAGCAGGGAGTAAGCGATCACATTGGCATTCATGAGAGCCATAAATTTAGTTGCGATCAATGTAAAAAGGAGTACCACAGCAAAAAAGGACTACTAAAGCATACTAGACGAGTACACGAACAGCGCTACAAACAACTTTGTTCTATTTGCGGGAAAAAGTGCAATACTAAATCCGCACTTAACACGCACATGAGCGTTCATCAAGATTTGAAAATGATCTGTGAAATATGTGGAAAAGAATTCAGGAGCGAAAACCTTCTTCAAATTCACTTGTCATGTCACAAGGAAAAGGCCTTCACATGTGACGTATGCGATCAGAAGTTCTCACGTCGCGATAATATGAAATTACACATAAGGAAACATACCGGTCAAAAACCTTATAAATGTGATATTTGTGATAAAACATTTAGTAGGCATGACAACATGAAAAAACATGTCCAATCACATGGGTAACATCGTATTCATCATTGTGGATTGCTTCAAGCTTTGGTAGTGAAATTGATTGGTCGAGAAATTTACAGGTTATTGAGAATTGCAGCTCAAACAGTGCCAGCATTTTACAAAATGAGACGGGAAACTACATGTACGGTGGCACAGTGAGTGAGTAAGACATTGGCTCCCTAACTAGGTCCAGTGTTTAACCGAGAAAGTGTATAGGGAATTTCCGGCGTGGTTCCCCCCCCCCCCATCAGTGGTGTGGGACATACGACCTAGCAAGGGATAATTCGTAGTCATTGAGATGAGACAAAAAAACGAGGTCCCAAGTCCAATTTCACGTGCACCTTACCATTTGTAGTTGAAATGAAATGAAATGAAATGATGGTTTAACGTCGTCCTAGTGTTCTGCTTCTAACCTGGGCTAATGAAGACTGGCATACGCCATACAGTGTGCTATGAGAGAAATTTTGCCCGGGCAGCGGCGCTACGGCCTACTCTTATATCGAATTCCAACTGCCAAGGGATCTTTTATGTGCACGCCAATTGATGTGTACACGGGACCTCCGTTTTCCGTCCCATCTGAATGACTAGACAGCTGTCCTTGTCAGGCCCTCCATCCTGCATCACTGACAAGGGGGAACCACGCCGAAAAATCTGGAATGACTTTCTCGGCAAATGCAGATATCGAACACCAGACCTGCAGGCTAGCAAGCCAGCGTCTTACCCACTTAGCCACATGATCCCCCATTTGTAGTTGAAATTTGATATAAGACTAGGCCGTAGAGTGCCACTGTATGGACAAAATTTCCCACATAGCAGACTTTATGGTGTATACTTCATTAACCCAGTCGTGTAGAGAAGTAGGACATTAAACTTCATTTCATTTCATTTGAAAATAAGACAGCATCATAAACTTATTAATTATCTTAAGGTCCAGGGCCCAGTTTCTTGAAATCTTAACTAAAGATAAAATCCAAATTTTAGTAGATACTTCAGTTTAGATTGACTAAGCACTAAAATCAATCTAATATTATCCAATCAAATTAATAAAATTTGGATTTTATCTTAGTTAAAATTTCGAAAACAGGCCCAAGAATTATAATTTTTAAATTTTAGTATATTGTAGGTCATAGATAAAGTACGAAAAGCAATAATGATAAGTTAAAAGTTTCGTAATTAAATATCTTAGATTATTTGCTTATTTTCTATTTTCATAATATTGCTTATTGCTTATATTATTTTCAGTACTGAATAGTCACTATTTCCATAATTACTGAATATTTACTATTTCCATTATTGAATAATTACTATTATAATTTATTGAAAAATTACTATTTCATTATTGAATGATTTTTATTTTCATTTTTCAATAACTTTATAATTATTATTTTAATATTAAATAATTATTATTTTAATATTGAATTTTTATTATGAAATAATTACTATTTTCATTATTAAATAATTACTATTTTCATTATTGAATAATTAATATTTTCATTATTGAATAATTAATATTTTTATTATTGAATAATTCCCATTTTCATTATTGAATAATTACTATTTTCATATTTAAATAATTACTATTTTCATATTTAAATAATTACTATTTTCATATTTAAATAATTACTATTTTCATATTTAAATATTGTATAAATGATCATTATCTCTTGAAATATTAAAGACAGTTTGTGTTAACAACCGTATTCTTATTATTTAGGAAATAGCCTACATTTACGTTGATGTACGTCGGTCACAATTTCTTGTTGGCACTCGGCAGATTACATTTACCATCTGGTTGCTTTGAAATTGATATATATGTGTTTGCATTAGTGATCCGTGAAATTCTTCTGGAGTTATGGCCCTTGGTTTACTTCGTTGCACCTTTTGAACGCTCTAATGACCAAAGTTAACTTCCGATCGGTATGTAATTTATATGCATTATTGTAGTGAAAAGAAGGAACCAAGGTATTGAATTTCAGAGTTATGACCCTTGTCTCACTTTGTTAAACCTGGTAATGAACGTTCTAACGACAAAAGTTATCATCTGATCTGAAATGAAATGAAATGGGGTTTAACGTCCTACTGTTCTGCTCTTATACTGGGCTAATGAAGACAGGCATACGCCATACAGTGTGCTATGAGGGAAATTTTGCCCGGGCAGCGGCACTATCGCCTACTCTTATATCGAATTCCAACTGCCAAGGGATCTTTTACGTGTATGAAATGTATATGCATTATTTAAATTAGTGAAACAAAGAAGCCTGTTGAATTTCAGCAATTCCCGTTAATTATTTCTAGAGTTATGACCCTTGTTTCACTTTGTTAAACCTTTTTATGAACCACGGAAGTTATCATCCGATCTAGGGGGGTTGGATGGTCGAGTGGTTAGCACGTGCGCGCTGTATCATAAGACCTGTCATTGAGTCAACTGGCGTGGTTTCGAATCCCCGGTTGTACGTGACAAGGAATAGGGTCGCCTGTCCAACCTCGAGGGTTTTCTTCGGGTCCTCCGGTTTCCTCCCACTGCTAAAGACTCCTATGCGCAAGCGAATTATTGAAATAAAATTAAACCATATGTTAGTCCCGAAATGACCTAGTTTGTGTCGAGTGGACGTTAAACCCCATTTCTCTATCTCTCTCTTATCTTCCGATCTGTATGAAATTTATATGCACCATTTAAATTAGTGAAACAAAGAAGGCTCAAGAAGCCTATTGAATTTCAGCAATTACCGCCAATAAATAATTAGAAAAAAAATTTTTTTTGAAGAAAATCGGACAACATTTAGGAGTTGGGTAAGCTTGACAAAGTTAGGCAGTTGAGGATATTTTTCGAATGTTGGGGATGTTTTATGTTTGGATTCACTTGTTTGTCATTTCCCACAGGGGTATGACGGGGGCTGGTATCCGACCTAAAAACAAAAGGCTAAAATCGTTATTTTGAATAATTTCACACCGTGCCGTTTCGTTACACTGTGCAAAAAATGATATACATGTGTGTGTGTATAGCCTACTGATAAAGTGCAGTTTTGAGCAAATACACGTTAGTTATTTCGGTAACTGAAGTTGTTTTTGATGGGGATAGACCTGCCTGCAATCAATAGTTAAAGGACAATATTGGTGCCAGTCATTATCACATATGTGTTAGAGCTGGTTAAACACATTCCAAATATACTTTTAACACAGAGATCATTGCTACGAAGGAATTATTAGATATCCTCTTACAGTCCCATATAACAACTTTTGGTCTTCGAAGGAATTATTATTGATTAGATATTCGGCCGTGTATCTGTTATCACTCGTCGCTTTAGTCCGTTATAAAGAGCAGCGACCCGTGTTTTCCTTTGGCGTTCGTGACTTCCGATACGGGAAACCTGTATTACTCAGCTATCGTAGCAATGATCTCTGTGTTAAAAATATATTTGGAATGTTTTTAACCAGCTCTAACACATATGTGATAATGACTGGCACCAATATTGTCCTTTAAATGTCCATCCTAAACCTCATCGAATTCGGCAATGACATTTAACCAATGGTCACGCTTACCGTGAATACTTGTGACAAGTCATCATTGACCTTCTTGAAGTGATTGGCTGAATTTTAAATGATGACTTGATTTTAAATACCGAACGGGTTGAAAACGGTTATCCTACACAGGTCATCGGATGTTTGGTCAAAGGTGTGGTAATAATACAAATAAAATTCACCTGATGTAGGCTCTATTAAGTTTAAATATGGCAGAAATAACATATTTCTCACACGTGCCCATATATGATGTGTATTGTAGAATTCGATTAACCGAGGACTTGATACTCTCGCTGTCCAATAAATACTAACCGCGGACTTGATATAGAAAATTATATTTTTCATTTTTCACACAACGTCCACTCGACACAAATTAAGCCATTTCGGGACTAACACATGGTGGTGCAATTTTATTTCAATAATTCGCTTGCGGGTAGGGGTCTTTAGCAGTGGGAGGAAACCGGAGGACCCAGAGAAAACCCACGATGTTGGACAGGCGACCCTACTTCTTGTCACCTACAACTGGGGAATCCTAACCACGTCAGTTGACCCATTGACAGACCTTATGATACAGCGCGCACGTGCTAACCATTCGGCCACCCCACCCCCTCGTAACTGTAGAATACCGCCTAACGCGTACACCTCATATCCTCATGAAAATCAAATGGGGCGTTAAAACCTTTTCTACTGGACGGCACACCCTTACCATTGGCTTCTCATGCCGCGACTCGGTGGACTTGAAACGATAATATTTAGGTATTCCATTTATATCAGGTGGGAATAGAGTGGTAATTTGGATGCAAGAGCAAATATGTTTTAAACAAGTAGGATCGTACTATGGACCAGGAACTGACGAAATGTTGTTGGAAGAAATTCAAAAATCTAATTCATAAGTATGCCAATGTCCATGACTATAAGACTTGAATTGACGGGGCCTTACGTTTCTTCGAAGAGCGTCACGCCAGGGTCATCCCAGGAAGAAGAACAACCGGAAGAAGAAGAAGAGCCGGAATAAGAACAACTAGAAGAAGAAGAACAAGAAGAGTTGCTGTTAGCGACAAAAAAAAACAATAAGTACATTAGTAATAGAATCTGTATGAGCAGTCACACCTATTCAGCGACATCTCCTTGTAAGCGTTCACGATAAATCCCCCCCCCCCCCGCGTAAAAGTTCTGTTGTTTCATCTCTTTATTCAACGGTCACTCCTCTAACGCGGCCAGCGGTCACTATTTCACAAATAAATTCAACAAAACATCGCCCATTCAACGGCCATTGTTGAATGTTTCCTTCTTGTCGTTCTTCTTTGCAACACCCCCGCTAATCCCGTGAGTAGTAGTTAATTAACTGGACCCCCACTGATCAGGTAAAAAGAAATGTAACCCGGGATTATCTATTAATTAATCTTTTGTTTTATTAAACAACTAACCTGGTCATTGTTTTCACGCGTAACCACACATTATTTGATACTGATTGAATATAATAAAAGTACCGAGTTTTGTCACGATCATCTAGTATCTCTTTTCCATTGCCACTTTATTGTTTAACAGACGTTTTAGTGCCTCCTATAATATTACATACAGAGTTACACCCCCTGTAAATAGAAGATAAAATTAGCGGTGTTTTTTTGTTCATGTGCTTTTTTGATAAAATAAAATTAATTCATCGATTTTCTTCACAAAAATGGATAAATATTATCGAATGCATCACAATGGTAGACAGTAGTATCGAAGGTTGATACAAAATGACAAGTTTACACTATTTGCTGTTACTAATGATCACCAATCAACCGATGTTTTAAAGAGCCGACTGTCACCTCAAAGCTATAATCCTCATAGTTGTTTATTTACTGTTACTAATGATCACCAATCAACCGATGTTTTGAAGAGCCGACTGTCACCTCAAAATTAACAATCTACCACATTTTATAGACAAATTTACTAAAAAATATTATTCAAATTCGAAATAATTTCTTGTGCAATAATTTTTTCCCCACTATAGAAATTCGCAATAATTTCATGTCGCAATTATGTTTCACCACCCCAACTCGCAATAATTTCATGTCGCAATAATTTCATGTTTTACAGTATATAAAAAAACAACAACATTGGGCTCGTGCGCCCATGTTCGGGAATACTTTGCACATCAACAATATTGCATGAATAATTATTAGTATATAAAAAGGAACTACGCAGTGCAATTACAGATACCATAATTTGATAAATAAACAATACCATATATGATGACCACTCTTAACCATTTCCCTAATTGTCGTACGCTATATAAACAGAAGTTTGCTGACAGTTAGGCAGACGGACGGAGAAGAGGAGAGACGCAGACGAAAGACCGGCGTATGGACACACCCGAGTTCAGCCGCTACCTTGGCAGAGGGGCGGAATGGTAGATTCAATGTAGTTATGCACTCTCCTGATGTGTTCCTGTCGTAGCCTAGTTCCTGTATAGTTCCCGTATTGTTGTGGAATGTATGTAACGTTAGCTATTTTATATATGCCTGATGTAAATAAGTCCTATATTTACGATTCTGATCTCTGTTATCACTAAGGTAGTGTTACAATGGATGTCAATATGTATATATGTTTATTGGTTCAATATTTCAGTATGTTGGCTGA